TGGAAGAAAATATTTGCAAATCATATATTTGATGAAGGATTAATACTTAGAATATGTTTTGAATTTCTAAAACTCAACAACTTGATTCAAAAATAGGCAAAGGACTTAAATGGACATTTGTCCGAAGAATATCTACAAATGTCAATAAGCACATGAAAAGATCCTCAACGTCACTAATCTTTAGGGAAATGCAAAGCAAAATTGCAATGAGATACCACCTCACTCACACCCATTAGGGTGGTGCCTATCAAAAAAACAAGTGTTGGTGAAGCTATGGAGAAACTGGAAATTGTGCATTGTCACTGGGAATGTAAAAAGTTACAGCTGCTGTGTAAAACAGTATGGTGATTCCTCAAAAAATTAAAAATAGAACTCCCATATGATTCAGCAATTCCACTTCTGGGTATGTAGCTATAATAATTAAAAGCAAGGTCTCAAAGAAATGTTTCTACACCCATTTTCATGACAGCATTATTCACAACAGTTAAAATGTAGAAACATCGACTGATGAATGTATATGTAATGTATATACATGCAGTGGAATATTTTTTTATTTTTTTTATTACTGACACTATTACAGATGTCCCCCATTTATATTATTCTTAAAAAGGAAATTCTGCATTAAGCTACAACATGGATGAACCTTAAAGACATTGTGCTAAGTGAAATAAGCCAGTCACAAAAAGACAAATACTGTATGATTCCACTTATATGGGGTACTTAGTCATTAAAATCATTGAGACAGGAAGTAAAATGGTCGTTACCAGGAGCTGGGTGGAAGGAAAAGTATGGAATTAATTGTATTAATAGGTGTAGAGTTCAGTTGTACAAGATGAAGAGTTATACAGATGAGTGGCGGTAATAGTTGCACAACAGTGTGAATGTATTTAATACCACTGAACTGTGCACTTAGAAGTGGTTAAGATGATAAATTTTATGTTATGTGTTACGTGTATTCTACCACAGTGAAAAAAGAAGTTTGGCCTTGGTGGGTTGGGGGATTGTTCCATGCACCAAAAGGTTGTGGGTTGGATCCCTGGTCAAGGCACATACCAAGGCTGCAGGGTTGATCCCTGGTCAAGGTGCATGTGGGAGGCAACTGATGGGTGTTTCCCTCTCACATCGGTGCTTTTCTCTCTCTCTCTCTCTCTCTCTCTCTCTTCCTGTCTCTAAAATCAATTTTAAAAAAACCCTGGTGAGGATTAAAAGAAAAAAAGAAGCTTGAACATAAAGGCTAGTTTGTATAGATATTTGTTATGGAAATGGTTTTGGTTTAAATGCAACAGGACTTATCTTCATATACTGTTACGATTTTAGACACAGGTTTTTATTTAACAGTCTCTTTTGCTTACCATCCCAATGAAGGTTGGTGGAAAGGCATGAAGCAGTTTCTCCCTGCCAAATCAGCGGGACACGAGGAAACGCCAGTTCGCTACAGCAGCAGTGAGGTTAACCGCTTGAGTCCGAGAGAGGTCACCACAGTGCTGCAAGCTGACTCTGCAGGTAGCGCTTCGTGGCAGCCTTCAGGCATGGGAAGAGGGAGAAACTGCTATGCTGGCTGTAAAGTGCTTTGGGATTCACAGAAAATCTTTTATCTTCTTTAGGGGTGGGAGATCGGCTATTTTCTGAAGGAAGACCACTTTTTGAAAAGATGATCTTGAGAGGTCATTTCTGTGTCTCAGATGTTCTACCCATAGAATTGGGGCATTCGTATCTAAAAACTATGGTCATTTTTTTGTCTGTTTACCTGGAAATTTGTTTGGTATTATTGGGGATATAGAGACGTTAAAAGGGGAACTTGAAAGATACAGCAAGACTTACAGTATTTATATTAACTGGCATGTATTGTAAATATTCCCTCTGAAATTATACTTTAATATTATTCAAATAATGGAAAATTTCTTTTCCAATGAAATACTGTCTATGTATCTGAGGAACATAGACAAACACTATGTAAAATTACATGAATGAGGCTTTCTGGTATATTAACTTATTGCTATGCTACACAAGATGACACCTTTCATTTTAATTTTGAAGTTGGTTTTTACAGTGTCTGTGTTGATAGGAACAGAAGTTCCATGAAGAAGTGTTAGCTTTTGGTGTAAGCCTGAGGCTTCCACCCCAAATTGTATGAGCGCAGTATTATGAGGTAACTTCTGTTGTCTTTTGCAATATCCAGAGTATGCACAGCCGCTTGTGGGAGGAATTGTTGGCACACTTCATCAGAGGTCTACCTTTAAACCAGAAGAAGGGAAAGAAACAGGCTATGCCGACCTGGATCCTTACAACTCTCCGGTGCAAGAAGTTTATCACGCTTACGCCGAACCACTCCCGATTACTGGGCCGGAGTACGCAACCCCAATTGTCATGGATATATCAGGGCACACCACAGCTTCAGTTGGTCTGCCCTCGACGTCCACTTTCAAAGCTACAGGGAACCAGCCTCCTCCTTTAGTAGGAACATACAACACTCTCCTCTCCAGGACTGACAGCTGCTCCTCAGCCCGGGCCCAGTATGATACCCCAAAAGGTGGGAAGCCAGGTCCCAGTGCCCCAGACGAATCGGTGTACCAGGTGCCCCAGAGCACACAGGAGGTATCGGGAACGGGGAGGGATGGTGACAGTGGTGTTTCTAAAGAAATCCTTTGAAGGTGATGCTGCTTTTTACAAAGCATCATTTTAAAGCACATGGCCTTTTTTTTTCCTATTAGTGGTAGTAATATATAGAATGTACTTCATATCTGTCATGAATGTCGTTGGGGGAAATGGGATGACCGAGGTACAGGAAACTACTAATTTTGTCATCTTGCTTTACAAATGTTACTGTGGCACACTTACTGCTTGCCTGAACATCCTGTTTGTTACTACTGTAAAACACTATTTTTAACACAGAAGAAGCTCCCTGCGATGCACTTCGAAGAAATTAAAAATCACTGAGAGTAAGTATTTATTACCAATGCTGCAGGTACATATGATTGATTCAAGAGGTGGCTCTGTAAGCCTGACTGGCGATGACATATGGTACTGTTCTTGAAATGCCTAATGGCTTGAAATTCTGCTCTTTGTGAAATGTGGGTACTGCCATGATTTCCTCCTCTCCTATTCCTATATTGCTTTCTGGACTTTTTAAAAGTAATAATAAGTGATACAATCATTGTTTTGATTGCAGTCATAGGCACTTGTCCATTTTTCCTTAGGAGAGCTCTAGGTGAGAAACTCTGACTTGTAGAGAGCAGGGTGATCGATTTTCACTTTTTGACATTCTTGAGTGCTTTGACGCTCATGGACATGACCTGGTCTCGTCCTTGCTTGTTCCGCCTGGGACCTGTGGCGGCCAGCCCCATTCTAGTGTTTATAAAGCATTTGAGTCTTTTCAGGGGCTGATTCTTGCTTTATCAAACCTCACGAATTCAGATGTTTAAGTTTACTTCTCTCTGTGGAAACAGGAACTTCGCAATTTAAAAAAGATAGAGATGCTCTCCTTCCCCTCCAACTTTATTTGCAGTGGGATTTTTCCTAGGAGAGTTGTGAAAAGTCAAGGGCTTCCAAGTAGACACTGTAAACATGACCCACTTAATATTTATCACAGTGAAAGGCAAAGTCATTCTTCAGAAGTCATATGAATTACCTTTAAAACAAAGTAACCGTAACTCACTCTCTTTTTATGTGTAGGTAGATTTGTTTTCTTTGAATCTCAAGGTATTTTTTTACTTTTAATCAAATTTTTTAAAAAAAGCTTTAATTTCAGTGTTCCCTAAACTGTTAAAAGATCGATAAACCCAACATGTAGTCCTCAGCTCTGTGGGACTGTGCCCTGGCGTGTGTGCGGAGAGGCATGAGTGGTTCTCTGTACTGTATCATACCTCGGGAGGAGATGGTAGAGCATCCTGGCACATGACCTTTCATGTGTAGTTCTGGATACCTCCGGGCAACTTGTTTGTCACCACTTGCCCAGAACTAGTTTTAGGTCAGTGAAATAGAAATCATCTGCAGTTTACCAGCCCGTAATGTAAACATGTTTAAATGTCTTCAGACTGGCAACGTAATGTAACATAACGTAAGCTGACCATGTGATTAAAATTTGATATCCCTTGTTCTGTGAACCTTAATTTGTAGACGTAATAGAAATGTACTTTTCCATCAGGTCCAAGTCATTTCTGTTGGCCTGTGCCACCAGGTTATGTTGTTGCCAGAATTTGCTAAATTTGACTAAAGGTGAACAGTCTTCACTTGTTGTTTCATGAGTGTATCAGTAATCTAAACCATTGCTTCAGAATAGAACTGTTTATTTTTACAGCCTCCCTGCCCTCTACTTGACTTTGTTGGTTTTGTCTTCATTTGCTTTTGCTTTTCGAAACACACTAGGAGGCATAATTTTATCCACAGAAAAACCAACACATATTTTGTTTCGAAATATTTGAGACAAAGAGCACAGGTGTTGAACTTTTACTAAAACATATGAATGTGTAAAGCACATGTATTAATGCAGTCATCCCCTTTCAGGTGGGAAGAGAGTAAACCAATTGCTTTATTTTTTTAATTCATCCTTAGTACAGAGAGAATATACTTTTCCTAAAAACCTGAAGCTTTAAGAGAAATGTTTTCAGTAACTATTTCATTTTCCCAAAGATGCTTGCTATTTTTGTGTAATTGTGTGCACCTACTTTTCCCATGGAACTTTTTTTTTGAGAAGCCAGTGTTTTCTTAAACAATGCATGTTTTAAGACTTGATTCATGTTGCCACTGTGCTGTTCTTGAACTGCCAATGATTTTTACAAATATCTAGTTTTTACTACTATTATATATTTTACTTTCCAACTGAAGAGCTGAGCCTGATACAAAGGGTTGTTCTGTCTGGTTTTGTACTTTTAGTTTGTTTTCATAGTTGAGTTTTGGAGTTTGGTGGGTTTTTTTAATTTGTTTTTACCTGCATTTATATATCTGATATATATACAGCTTTGGAGACAATCAAGTAACAACTGAAAATGTGAAAGCAACCATTTTTTACAAAATTTTCTTGAATTTTTATTCTTTGCTTGAAACATGTAAAAGACTTAAGTCACTGTGGTTTATTGAATTAAATGTTTTCCTGTTAATACAATTATAAAAATAGAATCAGACAATGGTGCAACAAGTGTGGCCATTACATGTTTCATAAAATAACACTGACTTCACTGTTACTTGATCTTAGGAACCAGCACAGTTAAAGATAAGATATTGTGAATGCTGATTTATATTTTATTAAAGCTGTAAATCCAAATAGATCCTCTTGTATGCAGGGTCTACTCCAGTTATTTAAGTTCACGTTTCACTGTTTGCACTTTGCATTGAACAATGGGTTTAGTTCGCTGATGAAATGGTTCTAGTAGAGAAATTACACAGTAATTGAAAATATGAGGTTGTATGTACACTTGCCCTTCCCCCAGCAGGGGAAGGGGCAGAAAATGAGCTCATCTAAATATGAATGTGGCTATAATCCATGGCAAGTGATAAAGCTTGAACTTACTGCCTTGGCTCCACATTGTCACCTGGAGAGCTAAAGGGCTACAGCAACACCATGTCAGATGGTACGATTAGAGAGAACGAAGAGATTATGCTTTTCAGACTTTTTTAAGAGATATCAATGAAGCTTTACCTGAAAGTTACCTATTAGCTCTGCCTTTCAGCTCTGAACTTGAAGTCCGTAAACTGCAAAATCTAAATAAGAGTTGGATTGTTATTAAAATACTTTTTAGTTCATATGTGCCACCAATTCTCATTTAATCCAACTTGTGAATAGTTTCTTCATCTCTCTCTCTCTCTCTCTCTCTCTCTCTCTCTTTTTCTCTTTTGGCACTAGGAAGGGTGGAAACAAAACACACATTGAAATACATATTAGAAATAAAAATGGCTTGAGTGTCAGTGATATTCTCCCAGAATGTACTTTTCTTACCTCGGCATGTACTGTAGTCACTCAGTATTTGTATATGTTGCTAGAATTTAGATTGTATAAACAGTGAAATTTTAATGTGTTCATGTTTTAATAAATTGTATATATGTGTCTTGCTCAGTTTTTTTGGGGGGGGGGGGGCTTAACTAAAACCACCTTGAGGTTTGTACCCCACCCTTATACTACACAAAATGCCAGATTCCTCAATTTTAACATCAGTCAGAAAATTTTATGGCCAATATTATAGTACATACAGTAACCTTTAGAAATGCCACCATTGGTTTTTGACTTTGTCTGTAGCCAGCAGTATCCTTGTTGAAGCCGAAATTACTTCACATCAGGCTGAACTTCAACAGCCAAGCTACAGCCTCAGGCCGTGTGATAGGAGGAAAAGGTCACCCTGAGCATGTGGACTCCAGTCTAGTACCTGCCTTTTCCACCTCAAAGTTATTAGAAGAATTACATGAAACTGGTATTGTGCAAAGTATGCAATTAACAGAACAGCATCCATATTTAATGTCTAGATCTGGGTTAAATCACCTAGTTTTCTCCCCTTACCCTGCTTTGTAAGTGCTTCATTTATTCCTGTTTCTGGTCTAATATTTCACCCTTTATACACTTTCTTTAGAGAGGCAAGTTGGTTTTCAGTAACATCGATGTCTTCTAATGATAGTTATTCAAAAGATACTAATTCGTTCAACTCCTATCTCTTCTGGTGGCTTTTAATTCCATCATTCTTATAACTTCTGTTCTCTCCCTTTCTCCTTCACCACTTATCCCCACTCCGCCCTCACCATAGCTTTAGTCATACTGATTACAATGGGAAGGGAGACCAGCTCACCGCATTTGTAGGACTGGCTTGTTTGCAGCCTATAGGACCCTCCTCTGGGGAACCCTAAGTAGCCAGGGAAGCTTTCCATTTGAAGATGAGACATAAAAATACCTTGACTCTCCTTAAGGAGTTCCTTACTTGTGCCTTTTTCATCTTTCTAATTTACTTCAAATAGTAAACTTTTAAATTTAATGAATTAAACCAGGCAACACACAAAGTTTAAGAATTTTCTCCTTGAGCGTGTCTAACTTCTTTATATAAACTTTATTTCTTTGAAATAATGCAGTCACAAGACTTTAATAACTGCATTCTTTGGTTACTTATGTAGAATTTCATGTTTAGCATACTTCCTTCTACTTAAAAACAAAAAAATACCATCTTTGTTCTACCTAATTATTCATTATAACCATGGTTTACTTAATTGCAGGACAAATATATCACTATGATCCTTCAACTTCCATTACCTTCCATGCTGCTGTATTCAGAGCTGGTTTAAAATTCAAATCAGGTTCCTTAAATAAAAAGAAACTGAAGAGCCATCCAGATACAGACCTGAAGTGCTTCTGGTTTGCCATATCAAGGCACAACCACATGCCACTTCCCCCCAATTTATAGTAGCCAAATATGTCATCTTGTACTGAAGTTTGTTGCAGTGAATTTAAATTCCCTTACTTATTAGGAAATCATATTCCTTCAAAAGTTCAAGGTGAAGTAACTAAAAAGATGTTTAAAAACACCTCAGAAAACTAGCTTATTTTTTTAAAAATGCAATTACAACTTATTTCCCTGATATCTTAATATCTCTTGGTTTTCATAAATTAAATACAGTCATAGAAATTAAACTGGTGGTTATGAATCACCAGGCAGCAACAAGCTTAATATACAGGGTCCAGCACAAATAAGCCCCTTTTTTATTACAAAACTTTTATTACAAAATCACAAGTATGTACTTCTGTACCATAACACTCAAGCACACCACATGACATTGCAGGTGAAATGTTCAAATTAAAACTATAAATTATTACACCGATATTATTACCCTAGCAACCACACTGCAGCCGGCCTTACTTCTGCTGGACCCTGTACATCATTCCTTGACAAGTACATACTTTTAAAAATAAACTAAAAATTGCAGTATAAAAATAAAACTATACTGTTAGCATTATCTTCTCTGTAGGGTCAATCTTGAATCAAATTGATTACAAAGTTCTTTTTTGTAATGTCCTTCAAAAAGAGCTGCTCGGCAGTCACATTGTGATATGCATTCTAGAAAATAAAAGTAAAATAAAGTGACCATTTATCCCAATCTCACATAACAGGAGCAATAGAATATAACAAGTGGCATGGACTTAACTTTCATTAACCTTTCTAATTTATTGTTCTTTTCTCATTCTTGTGCCAGAGCTTTCCCTAAAGTCCACTTTTTCCACTTAAACCATCACATAAATAAGAGGCTTCCTCACCCCTGATCTACTAACAATGGTAGAAGTCTGGAAACCAAAACTGTAAATCCCAATGGGTTGATCACTTTAATGAAATCACCTGGAACTCAGGTTTTAAAAAAATTCTATTCTATTGATGGGTATCCTAATTTTCCTTAGGAAGGTGTTTTAATGTGTTTTTCTTAAGATGACTAGAAATACCAGATGTGCTGCAGGAAAGGTTAGGGCTGAGAAGAAACGAGCCTGAAGCCTGTCCCAGGCCCCTAACTACTCAAGTGTTTGTCTGACATTGTAGGGGAGGGCACAGAAAGTCAGTATTAAGGTCTAACCAAATTATACCACTTCTTCAACGCACATAGCATTTGGAGGTGATGATTTAAGAGGACTGTGATTTCATGGGATATATCCATGTGCCTTAGAGAAATCATTTCAATATTAAAAAATGTACAGATAACATCTTAATCCTATCACTTGTGATATGCCACTAATCTAAGTTAGAATTAGGAAACCATAAAACTCCTTCCCAGTGTATTAAATAAAAATTTGAAGAATCAAGTCAACTACCATTGATCCCTAATTCAAGGGAAGCATGATCTACTATTAAAAGATCATAACCTTTCTGGCCATAAAGATTCTTTCATGGAGCTAAAATGTTACAGACCTTCTTGTCTACTTAACTGAAAAAAATACATGAAAATAACTACTGTGCACATGGCAATGCTTTTAGGTGAACTTGTAATATCTCCAATAGTAGATTGTCTATACGTATATTTAAATAGTGCAAGTATTAAGATAAGGCTTGGTCCCTCTACAGGTTTGATGATACTTGACAATAACGGAGATTCTCCCAAGGGTCTGAGGCCCACAAACTGGGAATTGCTACTCTAGCAAAAACTCTGCCCTTGAGCCCTCATTGCTTTACTTGGTAGCTCTGTAACCCTTATCTAGCCCTCAACTTCTCAAAAGCTCTTCCCTCAGTAAAATGATGGAGTAAAAAGAGAGAAAATAGGCTTTCCAACTCTAAAAATCAAAGACTATACACACACACATTCATATATTACCTTACTCATCAAAGACATGGTGGCATTCCCATAGTAGTGCAAAGGACTCTTGAGGTCAGAAAAGTTGTATTTAAAACCAGCAAGGTGAACTTCATGACATATATGAAATGCCAATGTGATGGCAATAATTCCTGTTGTTGGGTGTTTGGGTTTCTGGGGAAGGAAATTAAAATTTGCTTAAAATCCAAATGAGATACTTGTTTCCAAAGCATATGTGGATGTCCTAATCTTATAAATCTTACAGTTTAACTAGCTCTTCAGAAAGACTAACCTCAGTGATAAGTACTACTAGTAAGTATCTGACTAGAAAACAAGGATTCCAGTTATATGCGTAGTAACATCACAGTTTCAACTAGATACTCATTAATTTAAAAACAAAAAAGAAATCATCGCCTTCACACACACACATTCAGAAAATGTGCTATAACAGGTGTTTGACAGGAGGATCTTGGCATTCAAAGTTTTAATTCTCAGTAGGGTGGCTTTCAAAGGCATAACAAATATATAAAAGGGTTGGTTTATTTTGGGTTTGGTTTTTTTTATGAAAAAGGGAAAGATAGGGAGAGAAACACTGATGTGAGAGAGAAACATCAATTGGTTGCCTCTCGTACCCACCGCAGCCTGAGGATGGAACCCACAACCCAGGCACATGCCCTGACTGGGAATCAAACCTTTAACTTTGAGGAATGAAACCCAACCACTGAGCCACACCAGTGAGGGCTGTATCAAAGTTTTATCATAACAATTCAAGGAGATTTCCTTTTGATTAAATGTTTTTTACAGAGCCCATGGAAATTAACATGTGGTTAATTACGATTTTGAGGAAAGAAAAGAAAATCAAAGCAGCACAATAAAATCAAGTAAACACCAGACGCCTAACAGCCTTTTGTACAAGCTTTTCTTTACCCCATCCGCTACTGTGACTTCACAAGCCTCCACCATACGCTGGAAAAGAAGGTTCATGCCTGGGTTCAAGACCTAGGACTCACCCATCCAACTTCACCGATCGATCCCATCACTGTTTCCATCTCCTCTGCCTCTTCATGTCCTGACTCCCTTTCATCACACCTTAGAGCACTTCACCATTATAATTATTCCCTTCAATTCTCTGGCACCTGTCACCCACAGAACCTGTATTACTCCTAACAGAATCTTAATCCTGATCAAACCCACATCCAAGCAGCAGAACAGGGCAAGAGAAAACAACATACTTGCCTGGTCACACGTAACACTTATGACCAAAGTTTCAAGCAGGCATTCAGTTGGGCCAGCAGTCCAATTACATCCCCTAGTAAATTTCCATTCCTACTCCCCAAGATGATAGTTTTATTCCCCTCTATCCTCCAACAGTCCTAGCCTTCTTCCTACTATAATCCTAGTTTTCTAAGAAAATAAGCAATCACATAAAAACGACATCATCTTCCCAACTCCAGACAGACCTTTGTCTTTACCCAAATTTTCAGCACTCACTCCTCTTACAGGCACAAGGTGTCCCTGTTTCTGCCTACGGCCACCTCTCTGCAAGGGCACCGTGCTTGTCACATCTCTCCTCCCAACTGCTCTGCTTCCACAGTGAGCCGCTTTCTCCCCTCATCATCGATAGTTTCCTTTATTGAATCATTTCCTTCAGCATACAAACATACCTTTAAAAACTATACTTGATCCTATGTTCTCTTCCAATCATTTCCCTGCTCTCTTTTCTAGCAAAACCCCATTAAAGATTTGCCTCTGCTGCTTGTGTCTTGTGTTCTCTTTAATCTATTTCAAATAGGTTTTCTTCCTTTCTTTATTCTAGCTCACATCACCAGTATGACCTCCATGTTTCCAGAACCAGGGTTTATTATGTGTGCTCAGGCTCTGGATGGCACCTGACCTGGGTGACCTCTCCAAAATACAGCTGTATCCTCATGTGGCTCCTGGGGCGCCCTGTCCTACTGGAACTTTGATCTAGTTACAACTAGCTCTACTACCATCTCTTAAGTAAGATCAGGGTCTTCCTGTGCTTTTGGAGTTAAGACACTACCTAAAACAAAACACAAGTGATAAATCTGATCTTACTTCTCAAGAAAATAAGACCTGAAATGTTACAAAACATACTTGTACATTCAGAAGCTGTCCTTTTCACCTCAGAATTACTAAGAAATTACTAAGAATCTATCCTTTCAATAGTAAGAAGCAGGCTTTAAGCTTAAAAACACATATGTTTTTTGACTTGGGAATTGCACTTTGAGGGGTCTAGCCTATGGAAATCATACAAGTGTGCAGAAAATCCCTATAAGCACAAGCATTTCTCTGTTACCTATAGAAGAAAAAGCTGGGTACAAATCTAAATGCCTTTATAGAGCAATCAATTAAATGGAGGGGGAAAATAGCAGAACAATATCTGTGGTGCAATTACAATTATATTGAACAAGCAAAAAGTCTATGTGTATGTGTTTATAAATAAATAGAAAAGTCTAGAAGGATATAAAGGCAAAAAAAAAAAAAACCTCAGGAGATAATGTGAGTTATTGAGGGAAAAGAAGGATATCCTTTTTCTAAATAGTCCTTTGTAAGTTATTTGATTTCAAGCATGTAATACTCTAGAATTCTTTTTACCATGCTAAAGAAAAGATACATGATGTGTATCTCTTGGGATTTTCCCTGATTACAAAAAGATAAAGAAAAACCCTCCTTTCAGCTGTAAGAGTATGTTTCACAGTAACTGAAGCTTCAAATGAAAAACACATCTCTGCCACCGTCCGGACAGGGCATTGTTTTCTAGGAACTGTACACAGGGCTACAAAAGTCACAGTCAATGATGTTTCTTTTAACTAAAGAACTGGGACTTTGAGGAACTATCAATATTGCCGTAACTACCATTTTCTGAGAATTCAGTGTCTCTTCTTCTGTGACTGGAGAAGTATTTCTGGACCACCTTATCGTCCTTCCTCACCTTTCCTCTGGTGTTCCTGTGGTATTCGTATCACAGATTGCTTCAGACCCCTCTTGTTAGCCTGAAAGCTATACATTGCCCCGAAACTAGTCCTGCTGCTCTGCACACAGCCTGCACCCAGCCCCGCCTTGCTGCAGTACACTGAAGACGAGGTTATCAGAGATGCGCTATCTGGGCATAGAGATCAAGACCCCAGAAGGGCCCCCACAAAGACAGAATAAAATATTCACTAAAGGTTCTTTTGCTTGCAACCTGAAAAAACACAAAGGTAATATTCTCAGATACCTAATTTCAGTAACTCAAACGAGGCACTCAGCAGCCACCTCATGAGCCTTGGTCTTCAGTTTCCAAGACCCTTTGGGTTCCCCTGCTCTACATGAGCCGGAGCTTTAGTTTGAAAGAGTGCAAAGAAAAATACGTACCTGATTTTTGGGAAACACTTTTGGAAAATTAAGCAGTTCATAAGCTGCCATTCTGATAATGAAAGGGTCTAATATTCTGATTTGATATGGTTTATAGATGAGGTTTAAGGCTGGCTTCTTCCAAAAACCATTAGTGTTCTGAAATAAAGAATATAAAAAAAACTTTGTAGTTGTCTTTTTTTCTATGGAAAAAAACCTGAAGGTAACCGGAAGGCACGTCAATTTTGCCAACTTACTATTTTGCCACCGGTCAGCAATTCCTGCAGCCACTTTAAATCATGGGGCTTAAAAGCAGTGAGAATCACTGTAGAATTAGGATCGTTGTGTTTAGGATCTGAAAAAACAGATTCTGGATAAAAAAGTCTGAAGGTTGTCCTTCTCCCAACTTCCTCTTCATGTCCTAAAACAGGACCATTATTCATTCTGTGGATAGGAAAACACAAGATATGTTGACCAATCGCAGTATGAACCATTCCCCGCACAGATCGCAGACTTTCAGAGGGGGGCGGCTGTCGGCCGCATATCCAGTGCTCTGGAGGCACAAGGCAGTCGATCAATTTTTTCACATGTAACGGCCAAGGAAATCACCCCCTTTTATGAACCAGCTGCTTGAGTAAAGCAGAAACTTGCATTCGTATTTGAAAATGAATTGTGGGGTCACTGGTAATTGAGTCTTACTTCCAGGAAAACAAGTCTACGTGAAACAAATGTGAACATAAGAACCACAAAAGTAGGGTTAAAAGAGAATTTGGAAGACATCCCAACAAAAATCTCCTGAATTTACAGAAAAGAGCCCTGAGGTTCGGAGAGAGAAAGTTACTTGCCCAGCATTACACAGTCATGTAGCACGTGGACATGTGTCTAAGTGACTGAGGCAAGAATCACATTGAAGGTGAACACCCATCAAAACCGTTATGCTCTGAAATAAAGTAACAAAATTGCCATATTATACCCAACCACAACCAAATGATTATTTATTGGTAGAGTGAAGTAAATAAAGAACCACAAAGAATCCATTGGGTTTGTGTATGCTCAAAACCAAGGTTAGATTTTGCACGCACTATGAAGGCATGCTATTAAAAAGAATGCTTTGTTTCCAAAACATTGTTCCCAAGAAGAATACTATTTTGCCCTTTGCTATTGACTCTGTGTAATAAAAAGACAGTCTTAACACTTCAAGTGACTTTCATAATGTGCCCATGGCATTTTTCCCACAAGGGTTTCCTATAGTTCTAAGTGATCAGATTTTAGACAATTGTAGGAAAAGAAATTTGTGTTTCAAAGTTGTTTTGTGGGTAACTTTTCACAGCTTCCTCAAAGTGGATAATAAATAGGAAATAAGGTGACATCACTGTGCAGAAACCGTCAGCAGTTCGTAACCCAGGAAGACCCCCAGGTGTCGCCAGACGAAACTAATGCAGTGCCTTGGTGCCCGCCCACCCCCTTCCCCATGAAGCATTCCTGCTCTTCAAAGACTTCCAAACTGAGCCCAGATGATGACTTTACATCAACCTTTCAATGAGAAAACAGAAATGCCCTCATTTTCCTACCACTCCATCTACGGGACTCTTGGTAGCTGTAACCACAATGCCAGTTGTCCTTTTCATTATGAAAGATCAGCAGTACCTATGCTTTGGACCCCATTTCTCTCTTTCCTTACCACCCCAATCTCTTAATTCACTTCTATCAGCGTACCAATATGTTCTAGAATCTCCTATCTTTATAAAAGAAAACAACACAAAATCCTCCTTTGATGTCATAACCATCTCTGGCTACTATCACATTTCTCAGCATCACAGCAAAATTTCTCAAGAGTTGCCTGTACTGGTTTCTCCACTTTCTTATCTGTCATTCTCTCCTCAACCCACTTCCACTGGGCTTCTCCCCACATCATGCCTCCAAGTCTGCTTTGTCAAGAGGGTCAATGAACTTGAGGTTGCCAACTCTGTTCCTGTCTTGCATGGCCTCTCACCAGCATTGGACATGGTGGTTCTTCCTTCTGTCTTAAAACACTGTGTTCTCTTGACTTCTGGGATCACCTTCTCCTGACTCCTCTTACTTCACTGGGGGATCTTCTCCATGTCTTTCACTCACTCTTTTTTTCTTGGCACAATCTTTGAAGTATTGAGTACTCTAAGGCTCAGTTCTGGGTCCTCTTTTCTCTCTCAGACGCTTCCTGGGAAATCTCACCCACTCTATGGTTTAAATACAGCTTATAGGCTCATCGAAACTTTACCCCGTTTATCCAACTGCCTACTGGACTTGTCCACTGAAACTCTAATAGGTTATCTCAAACCTAACATATTCATACAGAAATCTCGATTCCCCTCTAAATCTGCTCCCATGCTAGTCTTCCCCAATTCAGTAAATGGAGCCACTATCCAGATAATTTCTTATGGTGAAAATCTAGGAAGTGGTATCCCTGGTTCCTGTAATTCCCATCTCTGCTCATATCTAATACATTAACAAATCCTGATAACACTACCTCTAAAACACATCTCAATCTATCCACTTACCTCCCCTGCCAAGACAATCCTGACCTCAGTCACCATCACCTACCTGTAGACAGCAACCCAACTGCCTCTTCATTTCCACCCTTGTCCCTCATATTCCATTGTTTATGCCACAGCTGGAATGTCTTAAACATAACCAGATCAAACTGCTTTCCTGCTTTAAAATCTTAAAGTGTTTCCTGTCATACTTACAGTAAATCCAGACTCTAATGCTAGCTTACAAAGTCTAATCCTGGCTTGCCCACCCCTCTCCCCCAGCCTGTTGTCCTTCCACTCACTGGGTTTCTCGTTCCTCTCAAACCCAGGGTCATATCCTCCTGAGGACCTGCAGGGAACATTCTCTCTGCCTGCATTGCTTTTCCCTAGTCTTCACTGATTGGTCACTTGGTTCAGTTTAGACGTCTCCTCCTCAAAGTGGTCATCCATCCTAAAGTAGCCACTCAATAATTATCACATATTTTTAATTGTATGTATGGCATTTACTGTCCTATTTCCTTATTTAATTACTGTTTTCTTTCCTTATTAGAATGTGAGCTTTACAGAGAACAAGCACATTGTTTATTTACTCTATATCCCCTGTGGCTAGAACTGCCGGGCATATTAAGGGAACTTAATAAATATTTGCTAAGTGAATGACCTGAAATCTAGGCTTACTCTAGCCAACAGCTGAGAGACAAGGTTGTGTAATGTACTCAAGATCAGAACAACTCCCCTTCCTTTTAAAACACAGCTGTACTAAAGTAGGAAACCACATTCTTTAGAAACAATTCCAGTTTAGGAAATGAGAAATATTTACCTTATTATTACATCATAGGAGTCAATTTTTTCTCCTAAGGTCTTATTCTTCAAAACTCCTCCATTGCCAACCACCACGCACTTTTTACATGGCACACTGTTGGGCAAATAGACAAGTGAGAAATTGAGCCATCTATGAAAGAAACTGGGTGATTCCAGGAATCCATTCATACTTTCAGGAACCCAAAGCCAAATTTCACTTATTGCAAGGGAGAAATAGAACCAATTGTGACTTACAGGTCTAAGAATAGATTAGAAAGATATGAACTTTGAGAATAACAATCCACAGGAAGTATATCATCATTAGCAACTATTAACTCTCACCAGCCCATACACATTTCCTTATTTGATTCCCATAACCACCCATTGAGATAAGTAATCCTAATAGTTCCATTTTACAAATGAAGATAGAGGTTTAGGAAACTGTTAGGTAACATTTCAAAGTACTACTCCAAAGAGAGAACTTTGAATAGAATTTGGATCCAGATCTTTGAACTAAAAAACTCCCTTCAACACAGGATTCTGCATGTTAATATTGATACAAGTGTGTTTTCACGATACCTGTGTGTACAGGTTCTTACCAGTGTTACCCGTTTCCCTGAGATCCTAGCTCTAGGTTGCTGCTGTATCTTGTAAGTGTGCAGACAGGTTGGAATCAGGTGGGGACAGTACAGCTTCTTTGTACCTGCCCATGTCACTTAAATTCCCCAAATATGTACTGGTCCTTGCAGCTTAAACAATACAAACTAAAAATTCATTCTGCATTCCTGGCAATGGGCTTTAAAGTAGGACACAAAGTGGGACTTCCTGTTGCCGGCTAGGGTCAGCCGAGGACCCCAGCCTATGTACCATCAGAGCTCAGCAAACAGCATGGCCCATCTGTCCTCAGGCTCCTACCACTGCCCAGCCAGACCTGAAGAAATGACAAAACAGGTTGTGTCCTTCCCCTTTAGGAATGAAAGTACAGAGGGGAAGGCTGATGAGACAGCCTCGTGCCATGTAAGTATGAAGAAAAATTTTTTCTAAAAACCAGAAAATCAGCACACCAGATAAACTCCAGACTGTAAGGCTTTTAGGAAATTCTGAGTAGCAAAACTGCATGAATGATGTAGAATATTTAAACATAGAGAATATATTAGTACAGGAACCATTTAAAAGAACCCAGCATTGGCCCTGTCGTGTACCATGTACACATTCCTATATGCATAAGATTACCATTTTTATTTTGAATTTTAGTTCATCTATTTGATTTATTTTAATTTATATATATATTTTAAAGAGGAGAAGGGAGGGAGAAAGAGAGGGAGAGAATCATAAATGTGTGGTTGCATCTTGCACTCCCCCTGCTGGAGACCTGGCCAGCACCCAGGCATGTGCCCTGACTGGGAATCGAACCAGTAATTTGGTTCATAGGCCAGCACTCAATCCACTGAGCCACACCAGCCAGGGCCCAAATTCTTCTTATGAGACCAGCATCATCCTAATCCCAAAACCAGGTAAAGGCACAACAAAGAAAACTACAGGCCAATATCACTAATGAACATCGACACTAAAATCCTTAAGAAAATACTGGCCAGTCACATCCAGCAATACATTGAAAAGATCATCCACCATGATCAAGTGGGAATTATCCCAGTGATGCAAGGATGGTACAATATTCACAAATCAATAAACATAATTCATCACATAAAAGGAAAGACAAAAATCACATGATCATATCAATAGATGAGGAAAAAGCATTTGATAAGGTACAGCACCCATTTATGATAAAAACATTCAGCAAAATGGGAGTAACGGGGGCATACCTCAACACGATAAAGGCCATATATGAAAAACCTACATCCCACATAATATTCAACAGGCAAAAACTAAAAGCTTTCCCACTAAAATGGGGAACAAGACAAGGATATCTGCTTTCACCATTTCTATTCAACATAGTATTGGAAGTCCTAGCCACAGCAATCAGATAAGAAAAAGAAATAAAAGGCACTAAAATTGGAAAAAAGGAAGTGAAACTGTCATTGTTTGCAGATGACATGGTAGTATACATAGAATTCCTATAGACTCCACCAAAAAACTACTCCACCTGATAAGTGAATTTGGCAAAACAGAGGGATGCAAAGTCAATACTCAGAAATCAAAGGCATTTTTGTACACCAACAATGAAAGATCAGAATCAGAAAAAAAAATTCCATTTGCTATAGCAACAAGGAAAATAAAGTGCCTAAGAATAAACCTAACCAAGGAGGTAAAAGACGTGTACTTAGAAAGCTATAGAACACTGAAAAAAGAAATTAAGGAAGTCGCAAATAAATGGAAGCATATACCATGCTCATGGATTGAAAAAATTAACATCATCACAATGTCCATACTGCCCAAAGCAATTTATAGATTCAACACAATCCCTATTAAAATACCAATGACATATTTCACAGGTATAGAACAAACATTTCAAAAATTTATATGGAACCATAAACAATCCTGAACAGCTACAGTAATTTTGAGAAAGAAGAACAAAGTAGGAGGGATCACAAAATCTGACATCAAACTATATTACAAGGCCACTGCAATCACAACAGTCTGGTACTGGCATAAAAACAGACACATAGATCAATGGGACAGAATAGAGAACCCAGAAATAAATCTGTCTCTATGGTCAATTAATACTTGACAAAGGAGGCAGAAGCATTAAATGGAGTAAAAATGGCTCTTCAACAAATGGCGTTGGGAGATCTGAACAGCTACATGCAAAAAAATTAAATTCAACAACCAGCTTACACCATACACAAAAATAAACTCAAGATGGATAAAAGATTTAAATATAAGTTATGATACCATAAAAGTCCTAGAGGAGAACATAGGCGAGAAACTCTCAGATATCCCATGCAACAATATTTTGACTGATAAGTTCCTTAGAGCAAGGGACATAAAGGAAAAAATAAACAAATGGGACTTCATTAAAATAAGAAGCTTCTGCAAGGCTAAAGAAAACCTAAGCAAATTGAAAAGGGAACCAACTATACGAGAAAATATGTTTGCCAATGATACCTTGGACAAGGGTTTGATCTCCAAAATATATAAAGAACTCGCATGACTCTACCGCAGGAAGACAAACAATCCAATTAAAAAATGGGCAAAGGACCCAAACAGACACTTCTCCAAGGAGGACACACACAGGGCCCGGAGACAAATGAAAGGATGCTCAGCATCACTAGCCATCAGAGAGATGCAAATTAAAGCCACAATGAGATACCATTTCACACCGGTCAGAATGGCCATCATAAACAAGTCAACAAACAACAAGTGCTAGTGAGGTTGTGGAGAAAAGGGAACGCTAGTACACTGGTGGTGGGAATGCAGACTGGTGCAGCCATTGTGGAAAACAGTTTTGAATTTCCTCAAAAAGCTAAAAATAGAACTGCCTTTTGACCCAGCAGTCCCATTGCTGGGACTACATCCGAAGAATCCTGAAACACTAATTCAAAAAAACCTTTGCACCCCAATGTTCATAGTTGTACAATTTACAATAGCCAAGTGCTGGAAACAGCCTAAGTGCCCATCAGTAAATGAGTGGATCAAAAAACTGTGGTACATTTACACAATGGAATACTATGCAACAGAAAGAAAGAAGGAGCTTCTACCCTTCACAACAGCATGGGTGGAACTGGAGAGCATTACGTTAAGCGAAATAAACCAGGTGGTGAAAGACAAATACCATATGATCTCACCTATAAGAAGAACCTAATCAACAAAATAAACAAGCAAGCAAAATACAACAAGTGACATTGAAATAAAGAGCAAACTGACAGTAACAGGGGGGCGAGAGGGGACAATGGAAAAAAGAAGGGGAAGGGTCATCAGGGAACAGATACAAAGGACACATGGACAAAGCCAAAGCAGGGTAGGATCGAGGGTGGGAGTTGGGGGTGAGCGGGGGTTGGGGGAATGGTGGGGAGAAAATGGAGACAGCTGTACCTCAACAACAATATAAGTTTAAAAATTTAAAAGAAAAAGAATACTCTTTTCCATGCTTTAATACGAGACTCTTAGCTCCCAACATTAAAGAGTCATGCCCAAATCAATGTCTACTGTGTTACAAAAACAAGAAAACCCAGAGTTCCACCGGTGGCAGGGTCTGAAGGGGATGGTGCGGGGATGGTGGGCGGAGACTGTCCAACAGGCACTCCTTGAGGACATGCCCCAAAACCTCTATCATGGACATGTCACAATGGGCTCTAGAGATGTTTATTTTTAAAATCTATTTGTCTTTAACTATGAAAGTAACATCTCTAGATAGTTTTCTATGCAAGTTTGACATTCCTCCTAATTCCAGGAAGGCACCTTTATCAAAGGTGCCCTGGCTCTGCAGCAGAGGTAGAGAGGACCGGAGCCCTGGAAAACATTCAAATTCCTTCCCTCACCCTGGCAGGCATGGCTCAGTGGGCTGGGCTGGGCTGGGCTTCCTCCCGCAAACCACAAACACTGCCAGTTTGATTCCCTTGTCGGTGTGTGCCTGGGTTGTGGGCCAAGTTCCCCATGGACAGGGGTGTGAGGCCCCGTGAGTATTTCTGTCCCACAGGGATGTTCCTCTCCCTCTCTTTCTCCCTCCCTTCCCCTCTCTCTACAAATAAATACAATCTTTAAAAAAAAAAAAAACAGGAATTTTGCCATCTTCTTCACCAGATCCATCCCATGAATGTTCTGTAGCAATTCCCCTACACACAGTTTATTTGACCTTTCCTTCCATAACTTTGGGGTCAGCTTAATGCAAATAAGAGGCTGAACTTGAGGCTGGCTTCATCACCCCAGTGGAATGCCAGGCATACTGGGCAACATGCAGGCAGTGGCTAGGAATGGACAGGGTCAAAATAACAGCTCTGTTCCTGCCAGGTAAGCTTCACAGGGTAGAGGGAAATTTCTGTAATTATGGTAGCAAGACTAACCCTGTCCTCTGAATGAAGGCTGAGACCACTTCCCTGTCAAGGGAATGGGCAGCCTTGCCTTAAGGCCAGGTGGCCTCGGGGTTACAGCTCCCATCCTGGCTTGGGGTCCCCAGGCTGACCCAAGCTGCCACCCCCAACATGCCATGGTAGGACC